TTGGGGGGCAGGAAATGAAACAGTTGATGTCCAGAATGAGGGCATCTGTAAATTTTTTCACGGCACTCTTTTTTACTAATAAATGAATGGAGTGCTATATAGAATAAATGAATGAACGAATGTTCATTTGAACTGGTCTAGAGACTATTAAAATTGCGTGACCCGACAAATGCGCGAACGACAAAAGCACACCGACAAAACCGCGGCGCTAAAACTGCGATGTCATCAACGCACCGACAACAGCGCGCCGACAGAAGCGCGCTGTAACCCTAACCCTAACTTTAACTTAAATCGTGCTTCTGTCGGTGCGCTGTTGTCGGCGCGCTGTTGTCGGTGCGTTGATGACATCGCAGTTTTAGCGCCGCGGTTTTGTCGGTGTGCTTTTGTCGTTCGCGCATTTGTCGGGTCACGCAATTTTAATAGTCTCTAGACCAGTTCAAATGAACATTCGTTCATTCATTTATTCTATATAGCACTCCATTCATTTATTAGTAAAAAAGAGGGCCGTGAAAATATTTACAGATCCCCACATCCTGGACATCAACTGTTTCAACTCCTGCCCCCAAAATAACATTAGTAGAACATTGCACACCAGAATAACTAGACACAATGACGGTTTTTCCCCTAACGCCATCACTCTGCTAAACAAATAATTCCCTCAGCACTGTCAAAACTATTCACTAAGGCTGCCGTACTATTATTATTAGTCTTCTCATCGTTCCTATCACCCATCTCCTCCCACGTATGACTATCTATGACTGTAACTTTGTTGCTTGTATCCTTCAGATTTATATTGATTGTTTCCTAATATGATTTGATTGCTTATTTGTACCCTATGACTATCATTAAGCGTTGTACCTTGAAGAATGTATCTTGTCTTTTAGGTACACTGAGAGCATATGCACCGAAGACAAATTCCTTGTGTGTCCAAACACATTTGGGCAATAAAAATTCCATTCTATTAATTTATTAAATATTAAGTCACCGCTATTTAGATCAGGGGTGTCCAATCTTGGAAACTTTAAGACTTGTGGACGTCAACTCCCAGAATTCATGAGTCACGGCTGGCTGGGGAATTCTGGGAGTTGAAATCCACAACGTAAAGTTGCCAAGGCTGATTTAGATTAATAAGGAACCCCAATTCAAAATTAGACAGTGGACAGAGCCTAAAAAACAGACACAAGCCCTAAAATCTGATTTAAAAAAAGAATAAGCAAAACTGAGGAACAAATACATATTCTGAACTTCCTCCGCCAACATAAATGGTGAAGTTTGCCCCTGTGAAAAAGTCCAACCTGGCCTTCAAAATCCCCAGGTGACCTTTACCTGAGCACGTTGTCTGCGATGATGTCCATGAGCTCTAACCTGGGCCTGACAAAGAAAATAATGTTCTTGACATCCGCTGGTGGAAGGTGGCCTCCTTTGAGGGTGAACATTTTCTCCACCTCATGTTCCTGGAAGGAAATGAACAAAAACAACTATGAAGGCATTCAATTTGGTCTGAATATTTGAGAAAGAGAGGGGATTTGGGGCTCAAACTAGAGGCAATAGCATATATAGAATATAAAATAGGATTTTAGGAGAAACCCTCCCATACTACCACCTCTTACAATACTAGACAACACAGTATCAACAGGTTTCTAGCTTCTACCATATCTCAAGACCTAAAATGGACACCTGTTGTGACTCAGCAGATGTCTGCTGAGAGTCTTTTCGGGATACAAGATTCATTATGCAGCTGGGGCTGGTTAGAAGCAAGTTTGGAGATAGAAGGACGGATGCTGCCACGCCCTAGTTGCTGGAGTCAACGTTCCTTCGTGCGTGCCTTGGTTTGTACAATATTGTTTGA